GGACAATCAAGGAGCATAGAAGTTTGTGGGGTACACAGGTGCTCTGGAAGGGGTCTGCTATGGGGCCCCAGTGGGAACTCCTGGCTGGAGGCAGCCACTGGGAGTCAGCCTAGCCCGGGAGGCCCACAGGCAGGAAGGCCCATCCCAGGGAGCCCCCCGCGCCACCCCTGGGAGGGCCTGTGCTTCCCTGGGGTTCCTGTGGGTGGGGGCTTGGCAGATGGGCTGGACTGGGAGACATGAGCCAGGCTGGAGAGGAGAGGGAGTGAGCTGGGTCGAACCCCCACACCCATAGGGCTTTGTGCAAAGCTGGGCAAATTCCTAGACACCTCAAAACTGGGTGTCCTCTCCCGTCAGGGGAACACTGATTGGAAAAGAGGCTCAGCCAGGGCTCTTTGCACAGGGGCTGGCTCAGGAGGGCAGGGAAGATCGGCCCCCTTTAATCTCTGAGGGTTTAGAAAGAGCAGAAAGGGGCAAGCCAAAGGAAGAAGGATTTGAGGTGAAAGATGCCAGGAATGGGCCCAGGGTGGCCAGGGGAGACCCAGGTGTGGAGCGAATCCCAAGGTTGGCCTCCAAGGTTCTGCCCAGCCACCTGCCCTGCACAGCTCCCCGCCCCCAGGGCTATGAAGGTGATGACGTCACCTGTGATTAGGTTATAAATCAATCAACTTTGAGTTGATCAGAAAAAAGATTACCCAGGTGGGCCAGGCCTAATCAGGTGAGCCCTGCAAAGAGGCAGGGAGGCGCCCTCCTGATGGCCTCGAGAAGCAAACGGCCAGTCTGTGAAGGGGCCTTGTGACGGGATGGCAGGAGGCCTCTAGTAGCTGAGGACCGGGGCCCTCGCTCAACAGCCAGCAAGAAATGGGGACCTCCATCCTACAGCTGCAGGGAACCGAATTCTGCCAGCAGCCAGAGCCCGGAAGGGGTCTGCCAGCCTCAGACAAGACTGTCATCCTGGCCGACACTCTGACGGCAGCTGGTGAGCCCCTGAGCAGGGATGCAGTGGACACATGCAGGACTTCCGACCCTCGAGACTGTGAGCTAATAAGCGGGTGTTGTTTTTGTGTGGTCGTTTGTTACGTAGCCATAGCTGACGGATACACCAGGAGAGAGGGGAATCAGGCAAAGGCTTTGGGCAGAGGAAGACCAGGGCTTGGTGGGGCCCTGGGCCACTGGGCTGGCTGAGGGTGGCCTTGGCTTCCTTCCATGCTCTAGAACTCAGGCCTGCAGGGCACAAGGCTGGGCCCCAGGCAGAGCTGGCCATGGGAGCGCCCTGGACCGCAGGCTGCCCAGTAGCAGGTGGGGTCAGGTGGGAAAGGCCACCTCTCTCTGGCCCTGGTAGAAGGCATAGGGTCCAGGGCTGAGGGGCTGCACCCACCTGCACAGGGCCTGAGCTCCAGCACTGTCCCCACAGTGAGCCTGGGCCAGGCGGGACGCCCCATGTCCCTCACACACGTGTTAGCTCCACCAGTGCAGCACCCAGAGCTGCACCCACCTCCTGTGTATTTCCCCAGAATCCCAGCCACTGGGGACAGGGGTGGGGGAGCTGGGCTTCCTCCTGGCTTGGTCTTAGCTTCTTCCTTCCGGTGGCAGCCCAGGCAGCCCACTGGGCCCCAGGCCTCTGAGGTTCTGACTCATACTCACTGGGGGTTTTGTCCCACTAAGCACTTCCTCAGGACTCATGGCAATGTCTCAGCCACCCACAGGCAGGTGGCTCTGTGACGCGGTGGTGGCCAGGGCTCAGCTCCTTGGATACCAGAGACCCTGTCCGCAGAAGCCAGTGGAAGGAAAGGCTCACTGTTGGGGTAGGGACTGGGGGACCTGGGGAGGAGTGCAGAGAGCTGAGCCCACTTTCTGCCTCCAGATCCACCCCTCTTCTTCCAGAGGCTGCTGCAGACCCTCCTGGAGGAGGGAGTCCTTTCCCTCCCTCTGCCCCCCTGTCCCCTGCTGGGGGCCCTCAAGAAATGCCCCTCCCCCCAGCCAGTAACGCTGCCCCAGGTGACCACTGGCCTCTCTGAGCCCCTCGAGGGCTGTCCTGTTTAGAAGCTTACTGTTGGCACCTGAGGAGAGGTGGTGGGCGGGTCCCTGCCGGCTGCAGCAGCCCCCCATGGTGGCCCACCTGCCCACAACAGCTGTTGCCAGAGAAAAGCGCCAGGAGAGGCGGGAAGGGGCGTATGGAGGGAAGGCACCGACTCTGGGGCTGCAGGGGAGAGTGGGGAGGGCATTGCTGAGTACCTGCGGCTCCCCCTTTCCTGCACCATCTGAGCTGGGAAGGAACCTGCCCAGTTCACCAGCGTAGTGGGGGTGGAGACTCAAGGCCCCCAGACCACCAATGTCCCCCACCCAGGATGGTGCCTGCCTAAGTCCCATCCTTTTGCTAAATGAGCCCCAGAATTGGGGGGCCCAGAACACCCCATCCGGGCCCTGGATGCAGTGGGCAGAGGCCCTTGGACAAAGCAGCCTGGCTCTGGGGCATTGTGTGGGGCCAGGGGAGGCTGAGGGGGGCAAACTCACCATGTCCCGTGATGGGGCTGGGCAGGTCAGGGGGAGGCATGGGGGTGGCCAGCGTGGTTCCAGGGAAGCCCACGTCTGTGACAGCTCAGCACACAGATGTTTCATGCCTGTCTTTTGCTAAGCCGCATGTTGCTACCTGATAGATTTGCTCTTGCTGTTCCCAGCCTTGGGAAGCCCCCCTCTTTACTCCAGAGCTGTGTCCCCCCCATCCCGCTGGATGCACTCGGCACTGGGCATCCATCCTCCTGTGGGGAGCATGTCCCACCCACCGGAACCCAGAACCGGCCCCTCTGCCTCCCGCATGCAGGACCCCCTCCTGGCACCGGGTCTGTGGGGTCTCCCCTCTGCCCTCCAGGGGGTGAGCGGCGCCAGGGCGGGGGCAGCTAACAGAACGCCAGACGCAGACCTCCTAGGAGGCTGCATTCAGGGGTCCCCCCTCCCTGGGACCTGCGGCAGCCCCGTCCCTCGGTAGAGGGGACACAGTGTGAGTGCTATTAGCTTTGCAGTGACGGAGCCAGGTAGCCCCACCCACGGAGACCCCCTTCCCGAAGCCCTGGGCACCTAGATGGCTGACCACCGAGTGACCCTGCTTTCCCTCCCGCTCTCATGTTTCAAATAAACCAATAAGAGTGAACCCCTGAAACCTTAAGCCCCTACCCCCTACCCCGCTCACACCCCACCCCCAGGCGAGGGCCTGTGAGCAATAAACCTTAATCTTCTGAGTCCCCTGGTGGTTTTGTCCCAGTGTCATAACAAAACCAGGAGGACCCATCCCGCAGCAACGCTGGCCCCCAAAGAGGGGAAATGTCTGCGGGTCTCACTGCAGCCGATAGCATCTTAGCGTCACTACCAATAAGCTGAGATGACCCGAACGGACGGACGGACAGACGTCTAGAAAGTGGCTGGGGAGGGGGGGGGACCCTTGGCCCCAGGGGAGCGGTTGGCAGCCCAGAGAATGACCCTGATGGAGAGGACGCCGCCTCCCTCTCCTCGCCCTGCACTGGGCCCGCCCTTGCCCCGAGTCTGCCTCGGTTTTCTCGCCTATAAAATGAGAATACAGCAGGGGCTCCGTTCGGATGAGCTGTTTCCACTGTGATGGTCTCCTGAGCGGAGGCGGGGGGCTGGGCCGGGAGGTCAGAGCGCAGGTCGGTCTGAGGGGCCTCAGGGGGCCGGACATCACGGGGCTGGCAGCCCACCGGGCCCCAGCCCACCCGGACCTGCCTCCCCAGCAGCTGCGCTCTGCTCGTTCCACCGGAACCAGTGGGCCCTGGGCCAGCTCAGCATCAAGATGGAGACAGACGGAGAACTCGGGGACCCTCCTGCCTCCTCCCCACCCCTGCGCCCTGGCCCTTGGCCCGGTGCCGGGACCCAGAGACAAGCTCGGCTGGCCGCTCGGCTGTGGGGACGCCCCTCGGGACAGCTGTGGTGCCAGGCCCGGGCGCTGCCTCCCTCAAGCACGTAGCAAAGTTCCCTCGACAAGTCCCCACCTGAGGGGCCCTGGGCAGCAAGCCTTGTGGGCAGGACTGTGCTGTCCCGGGGTCCGGTGGGGCTAGAAGCGACCTCAGGGGGACACTAGGGACAGCAGGTATCTCTGGCCTCCCTGGGCCAGGGGTCTTTACACTTTCTTTGGGTCCCATCTGCCTACCATTCACTTTCTGGCAATGGGTGGCCAGAGACAGTGGCAGAGACAAGACCGCCACCCCCTCACTACGGCTCTGCTTTCCTGCCAGTGTGGCGGGACCTCAGTCACTGCAGTCAGTGGGGTGTGAGCCCTAATTGCCCCTGCAGCCCCATCCACTCCCCTTCCTCAGGGTTCCCCATAACTCAGTCCTGTGGTGGGAGGGGCCCACGTCACAGCATCCCATCCTGCCCTGTTCCGGGGACCCAGGCCGGTCAGTGGCAGAGGGACGGCTCAGAGGTGGGCACATGACCACATTCAGACCGATGAGAGGCAGGCCTGCTGGACTACAGCCAAGAGGGGGCCTCCCCCATGGGGGGCATACTGGTGGAGCCTGGATGCTTCTCCAGGAGAGGAGGCTGCCTAAGAACAAAGCCACCACGGGGAAAGCAGGACAAGGAGGCACCTGTTTAAACACCTGGACCCAGCCGCGCCTGAGCCCGTCCTAGCCCTGGATCCAGCCGCGCCTGAGCCCGTCCTAGCCCTGGACCCAGCTGCGCCTGAGCCCGTCCTGCCCCTGGAGNTGAGCCCGTCCTAGCCCTGGACCCAGCCGCGCCTGAGCCCGTCCTGCCCCTGGAGCCAGCCGCGCCTGAATTCATTCTGCCCCTGGTTCCGGCCATGCCGAAGTCCATGCCTGTACCTGGACTGAGTTATGTGAGCTGATACATTTTCTGTTTTGCGATCGAAACGTCCTGACAAACCCACAGAGTACGCCGAGAGCCTGATTCCTGGTTCCACAGGCTCCCAGGACAGGACAGTCCACGTTTCCTGCCCCCACCCCGAGCCCTCCGCAGAGGGCAGCCCTGCTCACCATGGCAGACGGGGTGCCCATGCCTGGCAGGTGGAAGACGTCCATGCTGGTCTCTGCGCCGCATGCCCCCACATTACTACCCCGGCTCGTCGGGGGCAGGTCGAAATAGGTGCTGTCGGGCTCCCTGGGAAGAGGGAAGAGGGAACAGAGCCTCAGCCCCACCCTGCCGGGCCCCGAGCTCGGGACCAGCCCCCGGCTTCTGCGGGGGCCACCTCTCCTGCCCCCAGCCCTCCTCAGTCCATGTCCCCGATGCCCCCCAGCAGCCTCAGCTCCCCTCCTCCTGCCTCCTCCCCTCCTGCGCCCGCCTCTCCGGGGCTGGTGTGAGGGCCACGGAGACATGGCCACGCGTGGGCTCTGTCTCCTGGACCTCTCCTGGCCCTGACCCCTCTGAGGGCTGGTCAGAAGAAAGAGCCCAGGCTTTAGACCCCGTGTCCCCAAGAGAAGGCCCAAGGCGGCACCCCCCCCCC